GGGGGGGGGGGGTACAAATTTCTACCCTTACACACTTCAACACTCCTTTCAGATCGTGTTTCACAAAAAAGAGTAAATAGAGCGAAACATTTACGTAATCGTAACGATACAAATAGTTTTACAAAGTCCACATAAATTTTAAGAAACGCTCATCTTCTTTAAATGAATCTGGTTGAGTCATAAAATCCCGTAGTTATGTGTCAATATTAGGACTATAAGTGTCGTATTTCGTTGAAATTGGCTTTATTATTCAAAATTATAGATTACTTAAATAAATCCTATTTTCTGGAGGAATAGGTATGCCCATTTCGGTAATTTCATTGACAGTCATAAATAAAGTCATGAGCAGTGAATACTTTGATAGGGTCAGCGACTTGATACTTCAGTGAGCATCGCTGTTCCGGTGAATCCTGACACCGGTGCAGGCAGTGGAACCAGTGCAAACAGTGTCAGTGTATGTACTGATTCAGTGAACACCAGTGTCAGTGTATGTACTGATTCAGTGAACGCCAGTGTCAGTGTATGTACTGATTCAGTGAACACCAGTGTCAGTGCGTATACTGATTCAGTGAACACCAGTGTCAGTGTATGTACTGATTCAGTGAACGCCAGTGTCAGTGTATGTACTGATTCAGTGAATGCCAGTGTTAGTGTATGTACTGATTCGGTGAACACCAGTGTCAGTGGCACACTGTCAGTAATTCACTGTTTTCACCGAAACTGCACATCCCTAATCCTGATGTATCTGTTTCCCGCAATATATATCGAGTGTCCCATGATAGATGGCTAATTTTTCTATTTCATATTTTAATCTTTAAATACATTTTAAAAAAGCATAGAAAATAGCACTAGGTGCAGCGTAAAGATCTCTGCAGCTACAAAGGAAAGCTTATTTTAATTATATACTTGATATTTTTTGAAAATAAATGGAATTCTGCCCAATCAATTTTCGACGCTGCATAGAACGGTCTCACAGAATCTTGGTTCTTTTCAAAACAAAAAGTATACAATTAAAAAAGCTGTTAGCGCAATCCCTTGCGGGATTAAAAATGTGAAACACGATGTACCTGCTGTTGCCAATCTTATAAAAATTGTTCTTTTTTATGCATATTGGTGTACATTTCTTCATCATGGCTTACTTTACATTATAGAACTGAAACAGGATAATACCTCATATATGCTCCAATCATGTGTTAGTTATGCATTATCTCTGATGCTTCCTTGAACTCTTCTTTCACAGTCTATGATGATCCCTGGAGCTAATCTGTCACGGTCTGTGATGGGTCCGAAGGTTCTCTGTCACGGTCTGTGATGGTCTCTGGGGTTCTCTGTCACGGTCTGTGATGGCCTTTGGGGTTCTCTATCAAGGTCTGTGACGGGTCCAGAGGTTCTCTGTCACGGTCTGTGATGGCCTTTGGGGTTCTCTATCACGGTCTGTGACGGGTCCAGAGATTCTCGGTCACGGTCTGTGATGGTCTCTAGAGGTTCTCTGTCACAGTCTGTGATGGTCTCTGGGATTCTCTGTCATAATCTGTGATAGGTATTGGGGTTTCTCTGTCACGGTCTGTGATGGTCTCTGGGATTCTCTGTCACGGTCTGTGATAGGTATTGGGGTTTCTCTGTCACGGTCTGTGATGGGTCCAGAGGTTCTCTGTCACGGTCTGTGATGGGTCCAGAGGTTCTCTGTCACGGTCTGTGATGGTCTCTGGGGTTCTC